CCCTGAACCCTCAACCCTTTTTACACCTCAACCCTAAACCCTAAACCCTGAACCCTCAACCCTTTCCCTAAACCCTAAACCCTAAGCTCTAAACCCTAAACCAACCTACCAACCTAAACACACAGCAAAGTCCCTCAAGCTGACGGCACCTCCAATCCTTCCCTCTTGGCGAGGGATTCCAAGGCCTCGAGAGCCACCTGCCACAAAGCTTGCCAAAGGCCCCATAGTAGATCCTTTTTGTGGTTTGTATTTAGGGTCCTATTAGGTAATCCCCAAAAAGGAACTACTTTGGGGCCTATGGGTTAAGCCGAAAGGAAGGGTTTAGGGTGTGTATTCCCCACCCGCTTCGCTGGGGTCTAGAATTTATAGGGTTTAAGGATATGCGAAAGTAAGGGTCTTTGGGCTCTGTCCCTGTTTAAGCCTCCATGGTGCTGAAGGCAGGGTCGCAAGATGCCAAAAGGCCTGCTGAGTCTTCTGTTGGCTCGCTGCCATCTGCCCCACCTGGCACGCCAGGGCACCGAGTTCAGGGTCTAGGGGCCTCGGGTTTAGGGTTTAGGAGCATCGAGTTTAGGGCTTAGGGGCATCGGGTTTAGGGCTTAGGGCTGTAGGGGCATAAGGTTTAGGGTTTAGGGTTTAGGGGTATTAAATTGCCTGGAACCGCAGTAGACTCATCATCTCCTGCATTTCAATCGCAGGTGGTGCCTGATAAAAACAACTTGCTACAAACGAACAAAGGGGGTTTAGGGTTTAGGGTGGGCAGTTGTTCACTTCGATCTGTCTAACCAACAGCCACCAGGCTTCTCCACAACTGACCAAAATGTTGGTTCATGCTTTTGAGCTGTGGGAATTCCAAGACTTGCTGATACATTGGGGGCGTGCTGTGAAACCTGCAGAAGTGTTTAGCATTTAGCCCTTGTTTTGAGCAGGGGCTCGTGTGCACATTGCCAGCTGCTGCAGTGTTTGCAACCACGGACCTGGGAAAGCTGGAGTCTGAACTTGAACAAAACCTCTGCATTGTCGCACACTATACCCTAAACCCTAGTGAGACCCCTGAACTCCAAACCTTTACCCCTACACCCCAAACCTTTGCCCCTAAACCCTAAACTCTAAACCCTTTGTTGCACAGGCTTGCGTCAATCCCGCCTGGACGTGTCGCACCCGTTCTCTGAATAGGGTTTAGGGTTTAGGGTCTAGGGTTTAGGGTTACCACGACGGCGTTTTGAGAGTAACTGGGAGCATGCAGTTTAGGCGGTGGAACTGCTCCCACAGGTACACGGACTGCGAAGAGCCCACGTGGAAGTTTACGGTGTTTTGGGGTTTTTTTCGGCTTCCGGGCAGAATGGCTTCGGTGAGGTGTTGAAGCTTTGGGGTGGTTCAGGGGCTTTGGATGTTCTTTTGATTCTGGGCTGGGACCTCATGTCGAAGGGGACCCTGAAGACTCTGCAACGAAAAAGCTGCAGATGCGACACCCTAAAAAAGCTCCCAAACCCCTAACCCAAGAACTAACAACCCACTGAACAAACTTAACCCCTTACCGAGACTCCCACCTATACTCCCCCTTGTAGTTCCTTTTTTTTGGCTAAACCAAATATAGATTTAGGATTTTATAAGGTATCCCCAAAAGGAACTACAATGGAGACTGTAGGTAAACTTTAAAGGAGTTTGTGAGCGGGCTGGGCCTGCTCAATGTCCAAGATGCGGTTGGCGATGACCTGCGCTGCACATGCTGGCAATTTTGAGGCCTACCCATACGCCCCACAGTAGCTCCTTTTTGGGATTACCTTATAGGATTCTATGTATGAACCCCAAAAAGGAACTACTATGGGGCCTATGGGTAACCTACATGTGGCCAAGTCACATGATCCTTAGACCATGCAGGTGACCACGAATCAACAAGGTCGAGCAAAAATGGCAGCAATCGTCACCCTCGCCCTGGCCGTATATAGCATTTCTACGGCAACCGGTAGGGACTCACTAAACCCTAAACCCTAAACCCTAAACCCCAAACCCTAAACCCTAGACGGGACTTATCAAGAGGCGGCAGTCGCAGCAGCTAAGCCCTGAAGTCCTAACCCAAAAACCAAAGCACCAAAGCCATGACGCGAGGGTGCCTAACACTGACATATGGGAGTTTCCCGAAGATAAGGGGTGCCTTTTTGGGGTCCATATATGTAATAGGGGTCCTACTATTTAGGGTACTATATGAAATTAAGGTCCCCTATTTTCTGAAGGTCCCCTTTTGCCGCCTGCCAAAACCTCCGCCCAACACCCTGAAACAATCACGCTGCCCCCGAATGCGCCGTGCACTGCGACCGACCTTCTCGTTTCAAGGCTGCCAAGTTGGGAGGAACAATACTGCTGATGGACAAAAGCCTGCATGACCCAACTATAGTTTTTGTGCCATAAATCCCATAGTTTAGGTATATAGGGTCATGCAGGATTTTGTCCATCAGCCGTATGAAAGGAAGCCCCCGGAGCGAAGCGCGAAACTGTTCATGTGGTTACAACAATAGACTCAAAAGACTCCATGGACCCCATCGCAAGCGCTTCGCGGTTTAGGGTTTAGGGTTCAGGGTTTAGGGTTGAGGGTTGAGGGTTTAGGGTTCAGGGTTTAGGGTTTAGGGTTTAGGGCTTAGGGTTTAGAACCTCGCATGTCAGGCAGAACCTTCCGTGCGGCCTTCAGGGTTGCCCATTCAGGGTGTGCCAACACCCTGACCAATAGACCTAAACACAATTACCTTCGGTTAAGGGTTTAGGGTTTAGGGTTTAGGGTTTAGAACCTCCGGCCCTCAACCCGAAGCCCCGAAACCCCGCAACGCAAACCTGAGCCCTAAAGAGTAGACCCGGAAGTAGAAGGACTTGTCCGGGGCCCGAACCAGACCGCAGCGGATGTCCTAGAGATTAAGGGTTGGTTTGGGGCTCCATGGTTTGGGTTTAGAACTTAGGACTTAGGGTTTCAGGTTTGGTCATTTTCGAACTTTGGTGCCCGGACAGTAGTGGACCTAAGGGGTTTGAGGAGTCGGAGCAGGAGCTATCAAAAACAAGTTGCTCGGATGTACGCAGCAGGAAACCAGGACCAAGGCCACATCAACAAAAAGCAGGGGAGCATAAGTCAGGACAGCGTGGAGCAGCAGCAGCAGGAGCAGCAGCGGCAGCGACAACCAACCAACCAAGCAACCAACCAACCAACCAACCAACCAACAAGCAAGCAAGCAAGCAAGCAAGCAAGCAAGCAAGCAAGCAAGCAAGCAAGCAAGCAAACGAATCAACACAAGAAACACAACAGAATACAACTACAACACACAAGACTACACAAGATAATGCAACGCAATGAAACACACTACAGCACAATGAAATACAGTACTGCCCTCTACAGCACAATGCAGTGCAAAAAGCAAGCTGACAAGCAACAAAAACAACCAAAGAAACACATAAAGGGCAAAACAAACAGACAAATAGACAAACAAACAAATAAGCAACAACTCACGCATACAAACAAACAAACAAACAAACAAACAAACAAACACACAAACAAACAAACAGACAGACAGACAGACCGACCGACCAGGCAGACCAGGCAGACCAGGCAGACCAGGCAGACCAGGCAGACAGGCAGACAGGCAAACAGACAAACAAACAAACCGACAAACAAACA